ACCTTCAGAAATCCCTCTAACACAGAGATGATGCTGTAAACGGGACACTGCTGAAGCTGGAAAACCTCTGTGGGTTCCAGGTTTCTGTAGTTCATCACGGGCAGGCCACTTTCCTGTGTCTTGATTTCCTTAGCCCTGAAGTAGAAATTAATGTTGAACTTCCTTTCTAAATTGTCCCAAGCCCCGCTGTGATTAAATGTGCTGTGTTTGTATGTGCTGAGTGGTGTTATTACATCATAAGACCACAGTGAAACCGAAAATTAAAAGTGGCATTGCAAAAACACGTCTTTGGAACAGAGGGGGTGGCTGGGCTGTTGGAGAGTGTTTATTCACCGTTACAGGGAGATGGCAACTGGTCCCACAAGAAACACGTGCACTGAGGCCTGAAGGTCCCCGGGGTGGGAGCGGCTCAGCCAGGTCCGTGTGTCACGCAGGGCTGTGCTCGCACACACCCGCGAGTGATCCCACCCCCAGCGAGCTCTCCCTGCTCAGGTGTTCTCACTGTTTGGAAATTCGTTGTTGGGAAAACATTCCCAGCCTCCCAGCACGTGGTTCTCAGCTGTGTCTCGGTGGATTGCAGGTCCCAGGGGGCAGAGTCTGCCTGGGTTTGCCTCCCCCGTTCACTCAGTGGAATGGGTACCGATGGTTTCGTGCTGACTCAGAGCTCAGAGATAGCCATGAGGTTTTTTCCTCTTTTGAGCATCCCTGTGTAGAAAGAGCTATTTTTACCTGAACCTGAACCTTTCTAGCATTATTCCTGACAGGAAAAAATAAGCCCTTTGTGCTTCAAGTCAAAACCAAAAGAAGGGACCTTTCCTCGGAGGTGCCTGTGATCCTCTCAACCTTTCAGGAACTGAGCAACAGCAGCCTCTGAATGTGCCTCTGTCAGTGCCTCTCTTCCTTCTTGGTTACACTGTGGTGACCTGCTGGCAGGAGAAACCCCTCTCTGAGGTACAAAGGGTTGGTAAGTCCATGTAAGAAAAGAGCAAGTGAGACAGAGGGAACGGTGTCTTTGGAATTGCTGGTGGGTCAGAGCCTTTCCAGGGAACAGCTGTAGGGTCAAGCTGGGAAATTTTTGTCTGGATGGAATGAGGAGAAAAATAAGAGTCTGCTTCCGGTACTCAGGAGCTTTTTGTGGCTGCTAAGTACAAAGTCTGCAGTTCTTGCTCTCCCCTCATCTCCGTTGCTTCCACTGCTGGGGGATTTACTCTTCCACTGGATACACAGGCAGCTCTTGGGCTTGGGAAGTGTGTTTTGAACAGCAGCTCCCTGGCCATAACCCCTGCAAGGTGACTGACCTGCAGCAGCAGTTGAGGCTGAGCAGGATGGTTTCCTCCTCTGGTGGGTGTTTGGGTGGGAAGTGTAAGGTTTTTTTTTTATTTTCATGCTGGCGGATTGTTGTAATTCCAGCCATGCACAGCAGAAGCTTGTGCACCCGTGCAGGGTGGGACAGGCATCCAGAGGCAGAAATAGCCACCAGGCCATCCTGTTTGGGCAATTCCACTCTTCCTGCCTCCTCACCGCAGTCGGCACCTCGGCCACAAATAAAGACAAATGAGTTCTGCTGTTGAAAATACCTGCACTTAGAAGAGCCTCCCTCCTCCGTGGGGTTTGTGATGTGTCTGTTTATTCATCCTTTGCTCACACGGTAATTTGCTCCTGCAGAAATGTATCTCCGCTCCACCCCGTGCTGGGACTGAGCCACCTCCGCTGCCACTGCTGGAGGTCCTTTCCCAGGAGAAATCAGCTGTGCCACATCCACGATGGGCCTGCCAGAGCCCTGCCTGCCCACAGCTGCTCCTGCTGCCATCACTGCCTTTGCAGGAGCTCATCCCACATCCCAGGGGGTTTTTAACTCTGCCCTGGCTTGCACTCTCCATCTCTTCAAGAGCTGGAAATACTCTGAGATGCCCCCAGGTGAAAATAGGCAGAGGAGCTGTTGATTGGGAAGAGGCAGAAGCAGTGCCAGTGCTCCTTTAATATGAAAGACTCGTGGCCGTGGGCTGAGCTGAAGCAGCAGCTGCTGAGGTGTCACTTTGGTGTTAATTGGGGGGTTGGTGAGTGCAAGGAACAGAAATTGCTGTGGAAGAGGGGAGAGAAGCCAGGGAGGAAGAGGCTGGCACAAGTGCCAGGCTCCTCTACTGCAATGCCTTATGCCCACTCCTACCAACTAACCCTGTTTCTGCTGCCTCTCTCTCCAGCTGAACGTGCTGCAGGTTTGTGCCTTCTGGGTAAGGGCTTTCCTTTGGGGTGTTTAGCTGTGCCACAGCCTCAGCTCCTGGTCTCAGGTAGCTCAGGTTTCCATCCCACCTGGAACTGTGCCCTCCATCCATCCCCCTCTGTTCTGCCAGCCAGGCTGGGCTTCAGGAGCCTGGGCTGTCACTGGCAGGAGTAATTGCAAAAATTGATTCACAGGGAATGCCTGTAGCAGGCAAATCCCTCTGACAGACCACACAGCCATCAGATTCTGCATTTATTTGAGTCAATCAGTGCTCTCATGCATATTTGGGTCGTAAATACTCTGATATAAATTGCATTTATTCTTGTGACAGCTGTGTTCCGTTACCTGTTATTTATTTGGCTCCGTTGTCCTCTGGTTTTACACCTTGTGGAGCTGTCAAGTCAGCTGCTCCCCACTGACAAAGCTCACAGCTCAGAGCCTTCCAAAAATAACCCCTCCAAAGGGATTTCAGCAGCAGCAGCAGCAGGATGGACGTTGTTGGGAAGTCATTGGGCGATGGTTTTTTTGGGGTTGTTTTATTGGAAAGAGGAGCTTTGTGCTTTTTGTCTGCTTTTTTTTTTTTTTCCTCCCCAAATTCCAGAATTAGACTTTTCATTCACGGCCCAGAGGTCATTGATGCCAATAATTAACGGGAATTTTGGGTCTCACCCCCCGTGTCTCGCGGCTGAATTAATCAGGTTATTCAGGATCTGAAATGCTGGGATGCTGACTCAGACCTTCCTAATTTTCCCCTGGAAGCTTTTTTAGCTTCACATCGTACGAATGGCAGGAGATGTGATTTGGAGATGGCTGAATTGCTGTGTCCTTCCAAAAGAAAGGTCAAACTTGCAGTGGGCACAGCGCTCTGGGCGAGTCACGGGCATTTTCTGCCACATAACCCTTCGTGCCAGGCTGCTGCACCAGCCTTGCAAGGTGCCAGTGGCTTTGGTGTTAATTCAGGAAAGCATTTAATCATGGAATTGATGACTCTGAAGTGCCCAGTATAAGCATGTGCTTAAGTGCCTTGTTGGAGCAGGGCCAGTGCAGATGCACCTTAGCAGAGCAGAGATTTGTGAGCCACTTCTGGGTGTAGTTTCTGTGTCAAACAGAGAGGAAAACACTCACACTTTTATTCAACAGGTTTTATTTGCACAAGGGTTTGGGGATAGATGCAGGCACTGAGTGTTCTGTCAATAGGGTTTATGTGTGAGCTAAACAGCAATGCTGTCCACGGCATTACTGCTGAAATATCTGTGATATAAAGCTGCATGTGCTGCTTTTCAGGTCCTGCCATTTCTCTGTTATCTCCAATTATTTTACTCTAAACGGAAAAGGAGTAAATCTGTAATTTAGATCAAATATCACAGTGCAAAAAAGAAACACACTGGTATGGCTCCCGAAATGTGGATGCAAATGGGGATGTATTATTTATAAAGCAGCTTTGACATCTTAATGTACTGAAGAAAGGAGAGACATTTAGTCATAGTTCAGCATTCTGCACGTTTTTGAACTATCTTAGATCATCATCCATGAAAAATTCATAATTTGGATCTTACTTTAATTTTATGCTCACATTCCAACTGGAGAGAGTTTGGGGGGGGTGCCCTTTGCTCTTGTCTTTTTTTTTTTAACCTTTTCTATCCCCCCACCCTGTTTTGTACAATTAAAAGCAGACAGCTGGGGTTGGGCAATGCCAGAAGCCCACCCTGCCCTCCAAGAACTGCCTGATAATTAATGAGACCCAGACCTCTGACCTAAAGAGGGATCTCCAGGTGTTCTGGTGTCCCACCCAAGTCCTGGGTTTGCTGAACACAGAGAAAGTTAGAAAGTTTGTGCTGCACAGCAGTAAAACCCATGTAGTTCCTCCGATGTGGACAGACAAAATCCAGGGATAAATCAGCTTAAAACCTACCAAGTTGCAATCAGGAATGTGGTGTGAGTGCTCCCCTTCAGGTGTTCTCAGGGGTGTCAGTGGTCAGGTTGTTTTGAGCTGGGCTGGAGGAGGGAACTCTGAACTGAGGTGATTTTGCAGAGGTCACTGTGTCGAGAGCCTCATTCCTGCATGACAGAAGATCCTGGGTTAATGCTTTGAGGGTTTTTTTTGGAGGGGAAACAAAGGGAAAAGGTGAACTTGTAGTCCTTCAGATGAGGCCATTCCTTTGTTGCTCAGTGATGGGTTTGGATCCCAGCTCAGTGTTGGCAAAAGGACCAAATGAAGGGATGGGAGTTTTTAACTGCAGGGCTGGTGCCAGTGGGGTGCCAGTGGGGTGCTCACTGGTTCTCCTCACTGCTTCATGGTTTCTTTCAAATACTGCTTGGAAGGTTGAAGGATGAAAGAACCTTTCTGTGGCCCATTTCTCTCCAGTGTCTGCTGCAGGAGCCAACAGGGAGCCCTTGGCTTTGTTTTCTCGTTGCTTGAAACTCCTTCCAACCTCCACTTCACCTTCTCAGTGAGGTTTAGGCAGAAGCTCTTGATTTATTCTGTCCTGGTTTTGCCCATCCCCAGATCCTGAGCTCACAGCAGACTCCGAGGGGCTGGTGCTTTCAAGTAATACGAGTTCATGGGTCTGAAGCTTCTCTGGGAATGAAAAATCTGTTTGATTAAGGAAACACCGACTTCTGAAAGCCCATCAGCCTGTGCAGCTCCGTAAGGCAGGGCTGCAGACTGTCTAATTAAATGGAACTGCTCTCTGGAGGATTTGGTTTGCAGAAAATTAGTTTTCATGTTCTTGGTCTGATGTTTATTAAACGTTTCTTCCCCTTTTTCTCTCCCTTGCAGTTTTCATCTGCAGTTTCATGGTGGCGGCCCCGATCTTCGGTTACCTTGGTGACCGTTTCAACAGGAAGATCATCCTCAGCTGTGGGATCTTCTTTTGGTCAGCTGTCACTTTCTCCAGCTCCTTCATCACCGAACAGGTAAGATTCTTTGCAAGGGCTCTTCGTGTCCTGGAGAGATGGACAAGGAGAGTTCCTGAAAAACTCCCCGTCCCGGAGCGCTCAAGGGGAACGTGTCCCCCTGGTGTGTATTTAACATTTAGCATGTTGCTTTCTCTGACCTTTTGTGGGTGAAGTGTGCTCTGTGTAACTGTGTTTGCTTAACTGTGAAAGCTGCTGTTCTTTGGTCATAAAAAATAGCAGATGAAGCGTATCCGAGCAAGAGTTTCTGTTGACACAAGGGCTTTGTTTTGAGGGAGATCCTAGAGAAGCTTTAAAAAGGCTTTACAGAAGCCTTGGGAAAAGGAACCCGTGGCTATAAGTGGTTCTTTTGTCTTCTGGTGTGTAACAGAAGCCATTGGAGTTCTTTTTTTGGGAAGTCTGCTCGTGGTTGTGGAGTAACAGAATGCAGCCAGCAGTGGTTTTACACGTGGACTTTGGCTCCTGTCCACAAAGGCAAAAAAGGTGGGTGATAAAAGAGAGATTAGATGTGGTTTCAGCTCCTTTAACACTGGCTGATGGGTGTATCTGGGGAGCTGCTGGTGGAGTTGTCAGGCTCTGCACAGCTCCTGTGCCGCTCCCAGGACCCCGTTCTGATCTCCCCTCCCCACAATCATCCCCCTGTCTGCCAGAGCCACTCGGAGGGAACAATGATCTGGCACTTTTGGGAGGGGGAAAATACCCTCTTGTTTCAATCATATCATAGAGGAGATTTAATTGCTGCAGGTGGCAACATTCCTGGGGAGACGAATCACAGCTCCTGGCATCATCAGCCTGGTTTCCCCCGGGGAGGGAGGGCCATTCCTCCTCCTTTCTGCCCAGCTGCGTTCCAGGGATTGCAGCCTTGTGGTCACGCCTCAAGAGTGACAACCTGGGACTAAAGCTCCCCACCCTGGTTCCTCCTGCCCACCCACGGGCTCTGCAGTTTCTAAGAAAAGACAGTTCCCACCCAAAGCAGGCAGGGGCTCTTACATGAAGGTCTGGCTCTCACGTTGGATTGGCTGGTGGAAAATGCTCAGTGGCCAAATGTGGAAGCCTTTAACTCAGTAAATTATTCTGGTTTATAGCTGGCCAGGAAGCATCCTTTCCAGAGGAAGAGCATCTCTCACCTAAAACAGAGAGGCTTTTTTTGGGTTTCTTTCTTTATTTTATTTTTTTTTATTTATTTATTCTTTAAATGTCTCTCATAACATTCTGCAAAAGTCTCTGTGATCAGAGCCCAGAGAGAGAAGCAGCTGTGAAAGAACTGATAACCTGCTTCTAAACACTTCTCATGGCATGGACATACATCATGCTCAGGTTTTCATCAACCCTTCTGCAGTGGACATGGTTCTACAGCTGGAATGAGGGGGACTCTGGAACTGGATTGATGTTTTCAGAGTTGAATTTCAGTTTGAGGATTTCGGGCTTAATACCTGAAGTGGTTGAGGGATTCATATATAGGGTCATTTGTATACAGGAGCTCAGGGTGGAAGTGGCATATTGTTAGCCCAAGAAAGGGAGAATAATGCTTTTAAAGCTGGATTATGTTTGGAATCCAGACACCAATGTTTTGGACATCATAAGAGAGACAAGATCACAATAGCCAGGCCTGTGTCAATTCATGCTGGATTTGCATCAGCACTAACTCTGGACCCAAACTACCATTTTGATAGAAACCACCCTAATCCACTGTCCTGATTTTCCTGGGATCCTCAACTCTACCAGAAGACTTAGCTATTAATCCAGAGGTCTCACACTCAACTCTTGTAATCGACTCCAGGAGATGATGGAAAACTTTGCAGCTGCTGGAAGGCTGTGCTTTACCCAGTGGCTCCAGCAGAATAATCCCAACTTCCCATAGACTCCTTCCCAATTTGATATCCATGCTGGAGGCCTGGTCTCCAGTGGGGAAGTCATGCTACACTGAACAAGGTGAATTCCTGACATAGTGGTGAGGAAAAGGGGCAGAGAAGAGCTGCTGCAGCCTTTTTCTTCATGTAATGACTAACTAGGCACCTCTCCTGAGCTTTGCCCTCCAGGATTCACTTGGGGAGCAAAACACTGGCTATTCTCTCCCATTTTTTCCCCCTTTCCTTCCAGGCTGTGTGTGTGTTTGTCAGGGAGGAGGGTTGGGAGCTGAAATTATCCACAGCTCTTTTCTGGCACAAATAAAAGCAGTGGTGAAGGCCCTGTGAGTAAGAGAAGTGATCCCATCCAAGTCCACATTAAAAGATGGAGGAAGGAGCAGGTTGGCAGAGGCTGAGCCCATGGAAGAGCTGCACAGCAAACTCCTTGTTGTGGCAACACCAAAAATACCCACTTAGGTGAGAAACAGTGACCATTCAGTATAAGCAGCAAACTGTCTTCAGGGATTGTCTTTCTTCGGATTTGGACAGTGACTGGTGCCTCGTGCCTCCTGTCAGTGTGTAATTAGATAGAACTCACAGCACAGAGCTCCAGTTCGGAGGGTAAATGGGAAGAGACAGCTCAACAAAGGCAGAAAGCAGCTGCAAGAGCTGCTGAACTCTAAAGGCACCCAATTTGTAAAGGGTTCTGGTAGCCTGGTGGTAATATTAGTTCCTGGCTAAAATTTAGATGCTGAAGGAAACCGTATTATGTGAGTAAATATGTAGATTGTTTGTAATTCATTGGGCAAACAAGTGCCCAGCAAAGGCCATGGTAATTATTATCTGTCCTGCTTGCCATGACACCTTGGGGTGTGGGGCATCCCTTGGGTCACCTGTCCCAGCTGAGCCCCCAATTCCTGGTGCCCCCCAGCCCCTGACTGGTGGGAGAGGAGCAGAACAGCCCCTGACTCTGTGTGAGCACCTGAAAACACCCCCGTGTCACCAACACTGTTCTCAGCACAAATCCAAACCGTGGGCCCCCCAGAGCTGCTGGGGAGAAAATTACCTCCATCCCAGCCAAAACCAGCACAAAAGGGCTGGAGCTTAACAACAGCTCAGCTAAAATACTATCTAAATGCTAAAATACTGTCTATTTTATGCTGTTTGGTTTAAAAAGAGTCACTGAGAACTGAAATTGGGGGTATGTGCTGTGCAGACATGTAGTTGTTGGAGAGCACTGCATAATTAAAATATCCTGAGTTATTTATTATCAAATATCTCTTGGTTCTTAACATGGAATAGGGGCCATCAAACAAATGAAGAGTGGATCTCTCATCTCACAAGGCAAAAAAAAAATGAAAATCAGGCCAAAATTTAAGGGTAGCTCCAGAGCGTATAGGAGGTGATAGTTACAGAAAACAGCAAAACAGAAACAGGAGAGAGATGTTTATAAGTTTGGTCACTGTTCACAAGGTCTTATATTACATTTAAACCAAATCAAAATAAGAAACCAAGTGAGTGCTGTATCACAGAGTAATTCCATAAATACACCTGGTTCAGTGGATAAAAATAGCTTATGGCAAATGTAACTAAAGGACATCATCAGAAGTAACAAGGCAGAGATAATATTGAAAAGGTCACCTTTTATTCTGTCAAATAGTGTGATCATTTATGTTAGTGCCGAATTCCTCTGTGGAAAAAAAGGATGGCCCTCCTTCCTGCTCTGTAACGCTGTTTAGCACTTCCTAAAATAAAAGGTCCATTAAGAAATCATTAAAAAACATGCTCATTAACCTAAAATTAGGTAAAGGTGGTACGTATTTAGACATAACTCAAGATTAACTCCATTTATAGAAACTTCAGTACAGTGTGTATTTGTATTTTGGAAGTACAACCACCTGCCTGTTAATCAGCCCCACACCTGCCAGCACACAGATTTGGGCACTTTCACGTCCAAAACCCCTTTTTCTGTAGTTTTTGGCTTTTGCAGAGCATTTGGGGAAAACACTGGGAAGCAACCTGGTCCTCAGGGGTGATCAGGCCACGTGCTGGGAGTTCTTTTGGCTGCTTGGATGGCCATGTCTGTTAGTCAGAATAATAATAATTATTCTTAAATTGCTTTGTTTGGGCAGCACTTTGTCTTAGGTGAGCCCTGGATTTTGGTGCTGGATTTCCTGGCACGAAATTCCAGGAGATCAGGACGCCTTTTCCTCACGGGCAGGACATCAGTGTCTTAAAGCAAGGGAGGGCCTGCAGGTGGAAATGAGTCCAGTCCTTTAAAATATTGCTGTTTCCAGGTAAATATCTTGAATAAAGCACATTTCTGAGTCCAAGGCTTGCTGGTTTACACGGGAGCAAAGGCTCCTGCCCAGCAGGGATGCTCTGGGAGGTTGGGGCACCCAGGGTCCCTCACTCCCAGCCAGAGCAGGCTGTGGGGACGGGGCTTTGTGGGAAATGGCAAGACCAGGGAAACCAGGAGTGTGCTTTTGAACCCCTCAGTTCTTGGCTGATACTGCTGTTCAAATGTTGATATAGTTAACAGGATAAAGGCTTTATGCTCCCACTGCAAGTGAGTCTGGATAGGTATTTCTTCTAGTGTTGTTTTCTTTCCCTTTCCTTTTGATTTATCCTCCGAAAAAGGAAGCAAACAGTCCACTGTGGAATTCCACTTAGCCTGCAGTGCTTGCTCATGTCCTGTCTTTCAGACTTGCCAGATGTATTTTTATTTCCAAAGCTTGTCTTTCAAGAGGTGCCTGAAAGAGAAGCACCAAATGACGTGCAGTGTGGAACAATTGGTTAGCTGGGTTCATTTTAAAAAAAACATAAACATAAACCAGCCACCCCCTTGAAACAATGATTCACTCCAAGGGGGAAGAGAAGCCTTTAGTCTTAAGTGCCCTGGCAGAAGTTGTAATATAAAACACACTCCTGTGCCTGTGCTGAGATAAATCCACAGTTTGAAAACCAGAAGCAAACAACACTAAAATCCCCAGGCTGTCCTTTTGTGTGTCAGGAGAGCACTGGGGGTTTCCTTTGAAGTCACCGTGAATTACTGGAACGTTTATATCCCGCTCTCCCATCCCATTATTTTGGAGCAGAGCTCTCTTTCAGGAAGGAGGCAAAAGGGATTCTCCCAGAGCTCTGTGCAGTCAG